CTGGTTACCAGTAAAATTCCCTCTGCTTGATTGGTGTCATCATCTTTACCTTCCAAACCTTGTGTAAAGTCCATATAATTTTAATTTCTCTGGTTTAGATTGTGCACTAAAACTGAAAAAAAGGCACAGTTTTAAAGCCAAGGACTGTGGACAGAATTGCTGCACTCTAAAAAACAAGTTACTGAAACTCATTGTGTGTAGCATTAACATTGTAGCTTTATTCAAGCATTCACAGACGGGGCAATATTTGCAGACAGCGCAGCACCAGAGAGTGTGTGCTGAATGACATTTGTCTGGTGTCATATAGGTGATTGGTTTGTGCAATTAGGACCAGTAAAGGATGCAAAAGGTCATCAGCCTCTTTGAGTGGTTTCTGGATAGCTGAACAGCTTGTGGGTGTTAATGATACAGGGAGAAGCCTTGAGACTGATTGAAGCATAGGTTCTCTCTCTCTCTCTTCCTTTCTCTCTGTGCAGTAAAAATACCTTAATCCTGTAATAAGACAGCCATTTTCCCCACCAGGTACTGAAAGCTGTTGCCTTTAACCAATCATTAAGAGGCTTTGAGGTTAGTGTACCAATCGTCATTTGCCTCCTGTGAAGAAAATAGATTGAAGAACAGAAGGTCCTGGCAACTCAAAGGAGTTCGCTCAACAATCCCTGTGGAAGGTATCCCAGTCTCTTATTCATCTGTCTGTAAAACAAATGCTATTTTTTATTCTTCTCTGTCTGCCTATTTCCACAGGGGTTTTAGAAGGGGGATACAGTTTAACTGATAGAGCCATATGTTTCTAGTTCACAGCTGTTTTTGAGTTTAGAATTTACTTATTTGTGACAAATAATAGGGTAGTGATTGTAATGAGGTCAGCCAGATGGACCTCATAGAATATGAATTCCCTGATTGGGGGCTGTTAAACTGGTCCAATCAGGGAGCCCTGGCTAACAGTTATAAACAGGAGTGTCAAGGGTTCTGTTCACTCTGAAAGTTGGCTCTAAGGGACCTGGATCAGTGTCAGGTTTGATGTACGTGTAAATAAGGGGTGACTTGGTGCTGGGGTCCCGGTCTCTGTGAAGTTATTTTCAAGTAGCTGTTTTTCAGTACAGGAATGTGGCAGTGTTTTCCATTAACTCGATTGCTTTAGACAAATAAATTATCAACTTTTGCATGCTTCAATTAAATCATCAGCTTTGAGGTAACTCTGGGAGAACTGGTGCTCAACAGTTAGCACACCTTCCCAAGTCAGTTGTAACTTCAAGAACCTTATTATTCCCATCTTTGACAGATCCAAGCAGACACTGCCAGAACCTAAGAGCTCCTTATAAATGCTGAAAGGTCTTCACAAATCCAAATGAACCCAAGCAGAACTTGTAAGAAAAACAAAGTTGCTGGAAAAGCCCAGCAGGTCTGGCAGCATCTGTGAAGGAAAAAACAGAGCTAACTCTGTGTTCTGAGGAAGGGTCACTGGATCCGAAATGTTAATTCTGTTTTTTTCCTTCACAGGTGCTGCCAGAGCTGCTGAGCTTTTCCAGCAACTTTGTTTTTGTTCCTGATTTACAGCATTTGCAGTTCTTTCCGTTTTTATTTAGAACCTGTAAGACCCTGGCAGGGCTTCATAGACCTAAGATCCTTAAAGAAACACTAACCTACCCCAAAAGATCCATAATGGAATTCACAGACCCCTAACAAATGCTAATAGACCTGAGCTGTCTCAAACAAACCAAACAGATCCTGATGAATTCATAAAGACCCCAATTGGCCTTTGCAGAACCCAGCAAACTTGAACAGATCCAAACAAATCCTAGACAATCTTAATATACTTGAGGAGACACTAACAAACCAGAGTTGAAGCCCATTGTTAGTTTAAAAATAAAAGTAAAATATTGCAGATGCTGGAAATCTGAAAACAATGCAGAGAATGCTAGAGAAACACAGCAGGTCTGGGACCATTCATGAAGAGAGAATCAGAGTTAAGATTTCGAGTCATGATGATTCTTCTTCAGTTTTGCTGCTTCATCTGCTGGTAAACGCCAGTTATTGACATGTTCTCCATCAGTCACCTCATATTCATGAACCCCAAATTTTGTCTTTTCCTGAGGAGGAATTGATCATTTTTATTCTCTAAAATGTAGCATGTAGACTTTATATTCATAATCACTCAAGCTTCATAGAATCGATGTCAGTAATTGTAGGTGTCGGGAAGCAAGTATCTAGAATGTGAGACGACAGATGCATTAGAGGATACGTAGCACTTCAAGATTTTGGTGCCATTTGATATTCCAAAGAATGATACTATATTTTTAAGATTGAAAATATCCTGTTGTTTCTCCGATTTAGTTAGCTCCTTTGATTTTATTCTGAAAACACCCTTGTTCGTGCTTACTTACCAAGATAATTTCATTTCATCAGACACTGCCAGGGATTCCTAGGAATTATAGAGATCAGGTTCAAAACTGCAGCTTCTGCATTGTGATACCACATTAGATTAATACTTTCCTAGCATTCCAATTTTTGCAGCTCTTTCACTATCTGAAGTGCACAAGGTTTCTAAATGAACTCTGTAATACACTATGGGACGCAGTAGCAATGTCACCACATTTGTAATCCAGAGAGCCAAGATAATGATCTGGGAACACGGGTCTGAATCCAGATGGTGAAACTGAAATTCAAAGAAAATCTGGAATAAAAAGTGGGCTGAATAGTAACTATGAAACCATTGTTGTAAAGCCCACCTGGTTTACTAACATCCTTTAAGGAAGGAAATCTGTCGTGCTTACCTGGTTTGGTCTACATGTGACTCTGGACCCACAGTGGTTGACTTTTAACTTCCCTCTGGGTAATCAAAATGAACAATCAATACTGATCCAAGCAACAGTTTCTCTTTTATAATGCCACCATTTCAGTCTCTCTTCCTAAGACTTGCCCAGTCCTTAATTTCACAGTGGCCTTTAAATATGGTCTACTCCTTTCATGTAAACTCTACCACCCCCTATTCCACAAACCCAATCCCCACCACCCCATGCCCACCTCCTGTTCCCAACACTCATCCACCATCAAACATATAAAATATATTCTGCTGTGGTGACTCACATTCCTGTCGTGCCTGCATTATTTAGCTGAAGAGACACAAAATGCCTTTCCCAGTTAAGGCAGAGATAAATGATGTCCTAATGCACTTAGATCCTGACTGTACTGCCACAGGAATATCTAAACCAAAATATTTAAACCCATCCACTAAATTATTCACCTTTGCAATGAAAATAGCACTGAAACTTGAGATGATATTGGAGATTTTTTAATAGACAAAGTCATTTTGAGAATGCATGACTTTAAAATATGCTGTCATGGGAGTTAACAAACTTCAAAAAGAGCTATAATTTACATTGATCACTTCTTAAAAGTCAGGCAATTTATTTTCCTATTAAAAAACATGGAATTAAATATTAATTAAATTTGGTGCCCACTAAAAACCTTGTGCTCTTGTAATGTCTCAATGTTCCATTGGAATGCTGACGATCTTCTCTTAATAAACAAGATATCCAGCAGGCTCAAAACAATTTCAAATCATGCAAGTGTTATAAATCTCGGAAACATTATAAACATGAGAAGGATAGTACAGATCTTCGAAGGGACATAGATAAGTTGGTAGAGTGGGTGGACAGATGGCAAATGAAGTTCAATGCAGAGATATTTGAGGTAACTCCTTTTCATAGGAAGAATATGGAGACAATATAAACAGTACAGGAGCAGAGGAACTTGGGTAGATAGGTGCATTAATCATTGACGGTAGCAGGACAGAGTGAGAGAACAGTTAATAAAGTATTCAGTATCCTGGGCTTAAACAGTAGGGACAATGAGTACAAGAGCAAGATGGTTATTTGAACTTGGATAAGATATTAGTTCAGCCTCAGTTTTGGTTTCATGTCCAATTCTAGGTATCACACTCAAGGAAAGATGTGAACACCTCAGAAGTGTATAAAGGATTAATGAGAATAATTCCAGCCGTGAGGAACTTCAGTTTCATGGAAGGACTGGAGTTGTTTGGACTTTTTGACTCGGAGAAGAGAAGGCTACAAGGAGATTTTAGAGAGGTATTCGAAATTATGAAAGGTCTGGATGGAGTAGACAAAGCAGACAGGGAGAAGCTTCTCCCACTTGTGAGAGGATCGAGGACAAGAGGGAACAGATTTAAATTGATTGGCAAAACAAACAACAGCAAAATGAGGAAAATATTTTCACGCAGTGAGTGGTTACAGTTTAGAATGCATTACCTGACAGTCTGGTGGAGGGAGGCTCAATCAAGACATTTTTTAAAAGACAATTTCAGATTGTTATCTCAAAAGGAAGAATGTGTGGGGTTGAAGGGAAAAAGCAGAAGATTGGCACCAGCTGAAATACTCAGAGAACTGGTGCAGAACTGATGGGCTGAGTGGCCTCTTTCTGTCATTCTGCGATTTTCTGTGGTTTTAAATTGTAGTGGCTGATCTAATAATCTTAAAACCTGCTGGACCACATCTTCGTGACTGTTCATTTGTTAGGGTTTTTCTTTTGTTACACCACCTTTTTGGATTGACCGATTACTGGTTTGAATAAAAACAAAAACTATCATAAAATATATTTATGCAAAAAAGGCTTTCGAATTTGTATGCTCTGAAGTTGCTGACCAATGAGGAGGTAGCATCATTGGCTTAGATAATGATTATCTCATACATATTGACGAATGCCTGCGGCTTACTTCTAAACAGCATTCAGAGTAAATCTTCAATGCATGGAACTATAGAAGCCACCAACGTCTCAAGGGTATTTAGGAAGAGGCAGTAAATATCAGTCTTGCCATCAGTGCACACATCCATGAGCAAGTAAAAAGAAATACCAACTTGCATGTTGCCTTGTTGCCAAAGAAAAATACTTCCCATTCTCCATGAGTATTCTGCTTTTGTCCTCATCTGAAACCACAGACTGCAATGAGATCTGGAACCAAGTCGATCTGTCAGACTCCAAACTGAGCAGTTATTTATTGATTTATTTATGAGGAGTAAGTATTTGTCACAATTACTAAGATGACATTCATACCTGTCTCCTTAGCGAAGCTGCAGAAGTTAATATTTCACAGTAAAGTGTGCGTATAAATGAAACCTTCACAGCTTGTGTTAATAAAATATCTGTACAAGTCCTTAACTTTTGTAGGTTCTTACAAAATGGTGAATTCATACATATAGACAATATTTGAGACCCAGTGATGATGAGTATCAGGTATAATTCTAGATCATCCCATTGAGTTTAGTCCATTCATAAATGTCCTGTTCACAGACAATGTCTGAGTTGATGAGCAAATATCTGTCTCCTACACAGAAATGCTTTTGACAGGCAGCACATTTAAAACACTCCAGGTGGTAAACTTTGTCTTTGACTCGCATTGTCATTTCATAGGCACGGATGCGTTTGTCACAGGCAGAACAAAGTCCATCTTGACCAAATAATCTGAGAAGAAGAGGAAGAAAGTTAGCTTAAAGCAGGAAGAACACAAACTAAATTTGCATTTATCAAATTTCTATCCACTCATCAGTGCAATACAGCAATTTGAGGGCACCGGCGTTGGTAAACTAGGAGCCCTTAAGCCAAAGTTTCTGCTCTTAATTGCTGAAAGCTAAACATTGGATTTGGCTGTAATTCCCTTTGCCAGGAGTATCTGAGGGTATTTGACTTCTTGGGTGATGCAGCCTTGGGTGCCATAGAAAGACTTACTTTTACCAATGTTAATATTGAATTAGAGGACAGTACTGATTGGTTGATAAGGGGACCCTGATTGGTAGAGGTTTTACCATTGGAGAATGCACTAGTTCATGGTAACTGACAGCTAATTACCAAGCTTTAAATTATAAATCAGGCAGTTTGACTCTGATTGATCAAAGCATTATCCTGAGAAATGAAGCAGTGAGCTAACATACACAATATAAATGTTCTTTATGTCTGCAAAAAACTGGACCCTGTGTGTTATTATATGTGGTTTCACACTGTCAGCCTGGTTGACAATCCTAAATTGGATGGCAGCATAATTCTTCACATGTTCAGGATGGTGAAGCAAATGTACAATTGCAGATCACGTCTAATATTGGACACAATAATGTTATTTTTGTTAGTGCAGGCTGGTTGACTATGTTCAGAAAGTTGCTAATTGTGAAATATTAGTTTACTCTTCCATTAATATTCTTGCGAATTATCCTGATTATTGCAGGACAAGAGCTTCAACAAAATGTCTTTTTTTAAAAGCAACACCCAAGTTCTATATTACCAAATGACTGAGTGATAAATTGATTATCCCATGGATTTGTATAGACCTCAAGCTCAAGGGTATCTGGGAAGGATTTTAAAATTAGGGTTGGGAACCTGATTACCACAAAATGTCACTCTATGCCACGTCAGCATCAGTTCTAGACACCTATTTTAAAGAACTAATGGGCCCAGGGGACAGTTTGACACCCAAATCAGTGGTGCTAGGAATTGCCTGGAAGCAAAACATGGAACCAGATGTTGGGGGAACACATATTTATACCAGGGGACTGTGTGGAAAGCATAGAAGGTACTGAGCTGTTTTGAGGAGACCATGAGAACTGATGGTTGCCTAGACCCCTGGCCAGACTGGGTTTCTGTGTCAAACACCAGGGGAATGACTGAAAGACAGTAACGTTATGGGCAGTTGGAATAAAGAATGGCAGCAGTAAGCAGGTGAAAAGGCTGCATCCTTATCCCTCTTCTGGTTGAATTTTTGAAACCTGTTTTTCAAATATTTCACACCACAATTTTTGGAGCACCTTTACCAATCCGAAAAGGCTAAATGGTGACGACTATTCAAAGGCCTAGGTCTCACGAGATTTTCTTCTATTGGTCTACAGCTGTAAGAGATTCAGCTGAGGTCATAAAAATCAGTTTCTAGAGAAGACATCAAACTTCATCCCTATTGAACTATTGGCCAATAAAGGGCTTTGTTGCTTTTTTTCAATACCATCTCTGCACAGTTTGCTGTGGATTTGTATTGTGCGAATGTGTTTGGTGGGATTAAAGGCATATAGTTTTAATTCCAGATTATAGTTAGTTTCAGACCAGTTTTGCCAATTGTTTTAGCAATAGCTTTCATCAATAATACATAACTTATTTTTCAATTCGTTAAAGAATCCTGGTCAAAGTGTCTTCTCTTCTAAATCGTGGTCTGTAAAGGAATAAGTTGGCCATATCAGTGATTGCATGAACACATTTACAGTAATGGTAGAAGAAGTGGAACAGTGAGGCTTGATTATCAGAGCATTGCTCCAATCACAGATGGGGTCTTGTGGTGCTGTTGTCATGTCCCTACCTCTGAGCGAGGGAGCCTGGTTCAAGTTCTACTTGTAAGAACATCTCTGAGTAAGTTGATTAGAAAATATCTTCTTCCCATCATGGCTGTAAAGCAGAGGATCCTTTGAATAGGCAAGCAGCATCCATAACTGGGCTTGCGATTCAATGAGAATATTTTGTAGGAAGGTGTTGGTCAGGTTGGCATAGTGTTCATGTGTTGTCCCAATCTTTTCCAATGCATCCGCCTTGAAGCACTGATGGAGGCTGTTGCTGAGAGTCAATAAATTCTCCTCCTAGTATTCTGCAGAAGAAAACCACCACAAGAAACCAAGATGTCACATGGAGTTCAGCAGTAAAGGTATCATGTGGAAGATGTGAGTCCAGCGCTGCAGGCACATTCAACGTTAAAACCTGGGAAGGAAAGAAGTGACAGGCCTGGGTAACAGGCCTGTAAACCGATATGGAGCAGCACATGCAAAAGTTGGGCAGACCAAGTGCTCACACTTCACCCAAGTACTGTCACGTCCGATGATCAGTTCCATCACTGAGACATGAGTCACCCTCACAGATGGATACAACTGAGAAGGGCGCATGACTAAGAAACATAACAGCTCATGTCTATGCCATGCTGGAATAGCTGAGTTAGGGGCAGGTTATTCGTATGTCACACTTTTCTCATCCTGCAGGAAAGGAGTGCCCACAATCATTGTGAGATGTCTCCAATGGGAATTGGAAATCAGAACCTCACCTTGCTAGAGATGGTGGCACTGGACAAATGGAGAGCACCATGGTGGCAAGCTTTGAGTGGAAGCCGTGAGAAGTAAAGTAATTTGATCACTCCATGTTTCGCTAGAGGCCATGGAAGAGACTCCAGCGCAGTGTGTGAGGTATCACAAATGGGGTTGAGTTGATCAAGTTCTCATCAGCATCTTTCTGTGTTTCCCACTGGGCCTGCGGCAGAGGCAGTGCAAAAGCAGTTATACAGGCTTCTTGATATTTGATGAACTCTTCTTCAACCCCATGTTCTTAAGATGTCAGAGCTATCAAGCTTTTCACTCAGGTCCAATTCCCAGGCGATTGATCATCATCCAACATCACTGTCGCTATTAGCAGACCACAATCACTCCCATATGCCCCAGGGGCACAGTAGGCCTGGGCTCAGTGCTGAAGCAGGATATTTGGGTGAAGATCCTATTCGGAATGTCTTCAGTTGGCAATCGTACCTTTCAGAATGTGTGCCTACTGGGAAGTTTCTCCTTTGACAGGAGCTGAGTTGCATGGTGATCTGTCAGAGAAGTGCGAGGTGCTCTATACAAAAATTACTGAAGCAGGATAGCCCTGGTGGCCAAGTCAGCTTGATACCACAAAACCTGGGACAGCATTTACAGACTTCCTCCAATGGGATTTGCTTGTCAATGAAGCAATGAAAAGCTTTTTCCAAACTTCCAGCAAAATTACAATGACAACACTGGAAGAGCTCCAAGGAAAATCTCACCTAAGTCTCATACAAATTATTATCTAGGGGCAGGCAATATCTTGCGGTATTGTTGCTGGATTAGTAACCCAGAGACTCATGTAATATTCTGGGGACCCATGCTCAAATCTCACAATGGCAGATGGTGAAACTTGAATTCAGTTAAAAAAAATTCTGGAATTAAAAGTCTCATGATGACCATGAAAGAACTGTCATAAAAATTCTTCTGAATGTCCTTTATGGAACGAAAAATACCATCCTTATCAGGTCCAGTGACTCCCACATGCCAATGAATGAATTTTAAAAAGACAGCAAAGAGATTTGAGTTAAAATTATAGAGAAAACATTATGAAATTGCACCCTCTCATGGACAATTTTTAAATATTTATTTAAAGAGATTTTAATGAAAATGTGACATTCATCACAGAATCCTGAAGAAAACAGGGTATAAATACCTGAGGAGGATCTGTTAGAGTCATCAGAGGATGCAATTTCATAACATTTCCTGAGTGATCTTATTCACTTATCGAAAGGAAGGCAGAACCCACCCAGAGGTCAGTCTGTTTAATGTTTTGAAATCTACAACTAAAGATGAAATTATCAACAGGGATAGATGATGGCCTAGTGGTGTTATCGCTCCAACATTCAGCAAGGTCACAACAGACGTGATTGTGGTCTCCACTCCACTTTCCTGTCTCCTCCAAAATCCTTTAATTGTCTTCTCAATCAAGAATCTAACTCAGTCTTAAACCCTCAATATGCCTGCCTCCACTGCTCTCTGGGCAACAGTGTTCCACAAACTCTCAACCTTCTGGGAGAAAATAAAAACAGTCCTAACCTCTGTCTTAGTTAGGAGACTCTTTACTTTTAAACCATGCCCCAAAGTTCTAGTTTCTCCCTTTTCCTGTTCTATCTCTTGCAACATTAAATAGTTAAGATTGCAGAATACATAGGCAAGTGGCAGGTATAACATAATACAGAGGAATGAAGTGATGCAGTTTCATCGAAGAGGCAGAGAGAGGCAATGTAGTCTTAACTGAGCATTCCTAAAGAGTGTGCAGGAAAGGATGGACCCGGGGGCAGATATGCCTCAATCTTTGAAGGTGGACAGATATATTGAGGGAGTGCTGAGTAAACCAGATGAGATCTTGGGCTTCACAGACAGAGATATTGATTACAAAAGCATGTAAATTGAACCTTTATAAAGCTCTGGTGAGGCCCCAACTAGACCACTGTGTATAATTCTGGTCGCCAAGCGTTTCGTAGGATGTAAGGGTCTTGGACAGGGTCCAGAAAACATTTACTGAATTGTTGCAGGGATGTAGAGATTTTGTGACAAAGTTAGAATGTAGAAACTGAGTTGATCTCCATGGGCAAAGGAGATTGATGGGTGATTTGACAGATGTTTACAAGTTGATGGCAGGTTTGGAGAAGGTAGACAAAGAATAAACGGCTCGCATGAGCTGATGGTACGAGACTGGAGGGCACAGATTTAACATCTTAGGCAAGAGATGCAGGGAAATGTGAGGATGAAGTTTTTTTTTGTGAAGTAATAGCCTGGATATTACTGCTCATAAGGGTGGTGAAAATAGAAACAATAACGTCAAAATGGAATTAGAGGAACACTTGAAGGAAACGAAACCGCAGGTGCAGGACTACAGGGATCAAGTAGGGGAGTGAGACTGACTGGATTGCTCAGCAGACAGCTAGAATGGATTCAATGGGCCAAGTGACCCCTTCTGTGCCATAAATAGCTCTTTAACAATAAACTGTCCTTGTCTATTGTTCCAAGGGTATACATTATTCATCTACAGATGTGAAGCTTCAGCAGTAGCTGTGTGCATCCTCCGCAATGTAATTATGATAGAAACTCAGCAATTATTCTCAAATCTAACTTTCAAATGGACACCTTTCAGTCATTGTTAATGATGGAATGTTAAAGGAAAGCGTAAAATATGACAGCTGTATTATTCATTGAGTTATTAAAAATGACACAAACACAACACTTGTTACCATCAAATACTCAGTGTAGGTCACTGCAGGGAGTTCTATCTGACAGAAAGCCAAGCTCTCCTCAGAACAGGAAGTTAACCAAAGTTCCTGTTCTATGGTAGAGATCAGGAACTTACTCCCTGTAAGAACCTGGGGACACTGGCTCAAATAAAATTTTCAAGATCATAACTGATAGATTTCAGGGTAACGAGAGATACAAAGCATGGCGAGGGACATGGGAGTTGTGATACAGAGCAACCATGATCTAACAGAAGGGTAGAACATATGCGAGAATTGAAAGACCTACTCCTGCTTTCATGTTTCATTGATAATATCCAGAAAGCTAAGCTGGAAGATTTAGTGTTACTTAACTTGGTGCTTTGTGACTGCTGACTTTGTCCACCTGAGTCCAACACCGGCACCTCCATATCATGACGTTCTGATGAGAATGGGATTGTACATGGCTTGATGCACTCCCAATTTCCAGTCTTCAGTCAGGTTACCAACCCTAACCCTAACTCAATATCCATAAATAACTTGATACAATCTAATTCATGCTCCTTGATTTATTTCATCCTCACTCCTACTCTTTCCAATCTTCATGCTGTTTTTCACTACGTACCTCGCATCTACAAATACATTGAAATTAATAGAGCGCAAAGGTTTAGTCTGTGCATAGGCCTCCTGAACATGCAACAGTGCAAATGTGTGAGTAGAAAAAATCCTCCAAACAGTGGAGACAAGGAACTGCTGAGAAAAGCAATCATGTTTCAGAATTTTCTTAACCATTCTTGCACAGCAAGTCTTTGGAGGAGGATATACTTTGAAATGTTGGGTCTTTATAGTAAAAAGTATTCACACCAGATGTATAAAGAAACAGGATGAAGGGTGTTCGAAATACAACTGGTAATGATTTAATTCAAGCTAGGAAATAAGAAACAACTTATTAGCCTGCCTAAGCTGCTAATAAACAGCTCACAAGTTCTGCAATCATCTCTGGCCCTGTATAGCCACGAACAGCATATAGCATGTGATTTTGCAAAACTGTTTCCGAATCATGTACAACAATGGCTGTGAGGTCTGTTAAGTTTTTGTGAGGGTGATTTTTGGCCAGTCTTAGAGGGAGAACGCAGGACCTTAATTCAATTAGTTTTTTTAAAAAGACAACTCATTGATGTGGAGAAATGTGAAATGTTTATTCTTTTGTCATATCCTACAAGGAGAAGTTGTGTTGAGAGTACTATATTTCTCTGGTCAATATGGTTCATTTTTATGTTCATTGTGAAATGATATGGTTTAGTAATTCATGTATGACTGCACCTTCATCAAGTTTTGCCTCTGTTTAACTTCAAAGAGATTGAAGAAACTTACCTAGGACATAGAACATAGAACAGTACAGCACAGTACAGGCCCTTCGGCCCACGATGTTGTGCCGAACTTTTACCCTAAACCTAAGGTCTGTCTAACCTCCACCCCTACCTTATACTATCATCCATATACCTATCGAATAGCCATTTAAATGCCCCTAATGAGACTGACTCCACTACCCGCTCCGTCAATGCATTCCACGCCCCTACCACTCTCTGAGTAAAGAATCTGCCTCTGACGTCTCCCCTGTATCTACCTCCACTCACTTTAAAACTATGCCCCGTCATAAGCTATCTCCACCCTAGGAAAAAGTCTCTGGCTGTCCACTCTATCTATACCTCTGATCATTTTGTACACCTCTATCAAGTCACTTCTCATCCTTCGTCGTTCTAAAGAGAAAAGCCCTAGCTCTCTCAACCTTTCCTCGTATGACCTTCTCTCCATTCCAGGCAACATCCTGGTAAATCACCTCTGCACCTTTTCCAATGCTTCCACATCTTTATTGGAATGAGGAGACGAGAACTGGACACAATACTCCAGATGTGGCCGAAACAACAGGGTTTTGTATAGCTGGAGCATAACTTCACAGCTCTTGAACTCGATCCCTCTATTAACAAAAGCTAACACACCATACGCCTTCATAACAACTCTATCCACCTGGGTGGCAGCTTTCAGGGAAGTGTGGACATGAACCCCAAGATCCCTCTGCTCCTCCACACTGCCAAGAATCTTTCCGTTAACCCTGTATTCTGCTTTCAAATTTGTCCTTCCAAAATGAATCACCTCACACTCATCAGGGTTAAACTCCATTTGCCACTTCTCAGCCCAGCTCCGCATCCTATCAATGTCCTTTTGTAACCTAGAACAGCCCTCCGCACTATCCACAACTCGACCCACCTTCGTATTGTCCACGAACTTACAAATCCACCCTTCCACTCCTTCATCCAAATCAGTTACAAAAATCACAAATAGAAGAGGACCCAGAACAGATCCTTGTGGTACACCACTCGTAACTGAGCACCATGTTGAATATTTTCCGTCCACTACCACCCTTAGAAGACAAAGGGTGGTAGTGGACGGAAAATATTCAACATGGTGCTCAGATCCTTGTGGTACACCACTCGTAACTGAGCACCATGTTGAATATTTTCCGTCCACTACCACCCTTTGTCTTCTAAGGGTCAGCCAATTCTGAATCCAATCTGCCACATTTCCCCCTATGCCATGCCTTCTTACTTTCTGCATGAGCCTACCATGGGGAACTTTATCAAACACCTTACTTAAATCCACGTATACCACATTCACCGCTCTACCTTCATCCATGTGTTTGGTCACCTCTTCAAAGAATTCAATAAGGTTTGTGAGGCATGATCTACCCCTCACAAATCCATGCTGACTATCATGAATCAAACCGTGCCTATCCAAGTGATCGTAAATCCTATCTCTCAGAGCCCTTTCCAATAATTTGCCCACCACTGACGTAAGACATGAATGAGATATGAATGTAAAGTACTGATCACAACGAAATGTTAATGTCAAATTTTTGCATGTAATTTCCTGGTCTAGTTCTGCTAATTTACCTAGCAGTGCGGAGTTTAAACAGTTACATACTCAAAATTTTTCATCCAATGATGAAGCATTGCTTTTACATGCAGGGTCTTTGGTTTTAAATAAAAATTGAAATGATTTGAAGTAAATAAAGCTGTCATACCTGAGGTAGTCCCTTCGGCAGAGCTTTCTGCCTAGTTTATAGTATAATCTCCTCCCCACTTCTCCCAGTCGACAGCCACACAAGTCACAACTCAGACAGTCTTCATGCCAATACTGATCGATTGCTTTCAGGAAATAACGATCTCCAATATTCTGTTGACAACCCCCACACATTAATAACGAAGGAGGTATCTGCAAAACCTCATCCACTGGCTCTCTGTAAAGAAGAAACTTAAGTCAGAGGCAATTTAAGTTAAAGTCTGAGCACAGTGCTAAAATGCTACTCTAAAATCAATTTAACTTTTGAATTAGGGAGGTGAAAGTCAGCAAGCTTATTTTCTGAGATAACAAGGTGTAGAGCTGGATAAACACAGCAGGCCAAGCAGCATCAGAGGAGCAGGAAGGCTGACGTTTCGGGCCTAGACCCTTCTTCAGAAATTTTTTCTCCTGTTTCCGATCCAGCAGCCCCTTCGTAAGTATTTATTATATAAAACAAAGCACTGTGGATGCTAGAGATCTGAAACAAAAGCAGAAATTGCTGGAGAAACTTGGCAGTTCTGGCAGCACTTGTGGGAAAAAAAACACAATTTACATTTCAAGTCCAATGACCCTTCTTCAAAACTGATAGCAGCGAGTGAAAAGTGGTATTTATGCTGATAACAGGAGGTGGGGGAAGAGGGGAAGAAATGGGCAGATAGGTGGAGATGGAGCCCAGAGAGAGAAAAACAACGTCAGGCAGACAAAATGATTGTTGGTAGCCAAGAAAGAAGAAAAGCTTAGGTAGGTGATAATGTAGGGGACTATGAGTGGGTGAAAATGGGTAGGGTGTGCTAAAAGCAAGCCATATCAGACGGCGCCCAGGGTGTGGGGGTGGGTGAAGGACATGGACGGAGGTGTTCATGTTCTGAACTCAATGTTGAATCCTAAAGGCTTTAAGGTTCCCAAGTATAAGGTGAGATGTAACTCAGCTTGGTTGAGCCTTGCTGGAGCTCTGCAGCAGGCCAGAGGTAAAAATGTTGGCATGAGAACATGCAAGTGTTTGTTTCATGTTTGGAGGAAAAGGGTGCAAAGTACCACCTGTGGTTGGTGCAATTGTACCTATACTCTAGCAAGCCAACAAATTTATTCTTTGAGGCAGAGGATCAAATTGACACAATATTTCAGATGGACACAATACTCCATGAAAGCCTGCAGGGGGAGCTCCAATACAGAAGATATCTGGCCCATATTCAACTCATCATTCTCCGCCATTTCCGCCACCTGCAATCTGACCCGACTACTCAGGATGTATTTCCCTCCCCACCCTTAGCTGCCTTCCGGAAGGACTGCTCTCTCCGCGACTCCCTCGTCCGCTCCACACTCCCCACCAGCCCCACCACCCCCGGCACCTTTCCCTGCAACCGCAGGAGGTGCCACACCTGCCCCTACATCTCCCCCGTCACCTCCATCCCAGGCCCCAAGAAAACCTTCCACATTAAACAATGTTCACCTGCACATCTGCTAATGTGGTATATTGTATCCGCTGTTCCCGATGTGGCCTCCTCTACATCAGGGAGACCAAGCGGAGGCTCAGAGACCGCTTTGTGGAGCACCTACGCTCGGTTCACGACAAATGACAACACTTCCCAGTCACGAACCACTTCAACTACCCCTCTCACTCCTTGGACGACATGTCCATCCTGGGCCTCCTCCAGTGTCACAACGACACCACCCGAAAACTGGAGGAACAGCACCTCATATTCCACCTTGGAATCCTACAACCCAATGGTCTCAATGTGGACTTTACTAGCTTCAAAATCTCCCCACCCCGACTCATCCCAAGACCAGCGCCCCCCTCTCGTCCCCACCTCCTTGACCTGTCCGTCTTCCCTCCCACCTACCCGCCCCTCCTTCCTCACTGACCAACCCCCATCCCAACTCCCTACCTACACTCACCTTTACTAGCTTCATCCCCGCCTCCTTGACCTGTCCGTCTTCTCTCCACCCATCTGCTCTTCTATCCACCTTCTATCACTGCCTCCCCCTCTCTATTTATTTCAGAGGCCCCTTCCCCCTCCCCCATTTCTGAAGAAGGGTCCAGACCCGAAACATCAGCTTTCCTGCTCCTCTGATGCTGCATGGCCTGCTGTGTTCATCCAGCTTCACACCTTCTTGTCTCAGTCTCCAGCATCGGCAGTTCCTACTATCTCCTCATAATCCACAAAGATGTTTTACCCAAAATTACCATTCGTGTACTGTTACTGGGACAAAATCCTGGAACTCCCTTTCTTACAAGTTACAAGGAGTAGTGCAGTGGATCAAAGCGATGGCTCATGACCACAAGGGCAACTAGGGATGGACAATAAATGCTGGCCTAGCCATTGGCATTACATCCCATGTATGAATGGGGAGAAAAAACAGGCTTTCCACGATTGCATATGGTATGGGGGATTTCATTTGGATTTCGATTCTCAAGCCCCACAGTCAGCATAGACTTCAACGGACCAAATAATCTCTCTCCTCCCAAAAAACTCCTAACTCTCAGAATCCTCCATCCTGGTCACCTCCCCTCTATTTCCCCAGATTCTCTCTCCTCACCTAATTTCCCCCACTCTCCACCTAAGATCCCCCTTTGCACTTCATGACCCAGCCAAGAGTTACTCCAAGTAATACAACATCTGCAAAGTTTCATTCTCGTCACTCTGGGATTCCCAAGCAAACTCACGAAGCTGGCCAGCTGCATGTAAACAAAACTAAGGCCCATATCAGGTGGGCCATGGACTGACGTGTTCCACAGGAAACAAACTTCTGCCCAGTACACATGAGCGGGTAAATACAAACCAATTTGTGGGCTAGTGTTGACCCTAGTGTGGGCTCGTGTCCCTTAAAATCTTCCACACTGCCAACAATGGGAACGCATTCCTACGATGTCAGCGATCCTGTGGAGTGTTCACTGGCTGGAGATGGGACTTCGACCTCGAAATCTAGCTCTCCCCATTTCCGTGGGAGTGGTGTCAGCTTAGGCTTTCCATGCATAGTTTCAGGGGGCAGCTGCTCATTTTAGTGGCCATTTTGGTAACCTTGCTACATGGAACCGAGAGAGCGCAGTGCAGACCCATCACAGCAGCTCTGTTCAAAGTGTATTTCTTTTGGAAAGTCAGAATACCCCTCTGGAGAACTAGGCTACCCCTATGTGGTCCCAAGACATGTCAAGGGTGGGGTCATTTGGATACCTTTAGGATGGTGAGAAGGGTGGAGATTGTTCATTGGGGGGGGTTTCAGATGCCATTTGATGGAGCTTCAAGTATCCTTGGAAACTGTTAGATACCCTTTGAGATTGTTAAGAAAGGATTGTATGCAAAAAAAAATGCATAAACCCCTTGGAACTCTTAATCCTGTGAAAGACCTGCCAAATACATAAAGGCCTGTCAAAACGTGTCAGACCTATCAAGATTTGCCAAGATTGCCTGTTTTAAGATTGAGAGTGTTTTTCTCAACAGAGTGCACTATACAACTTTTAGTTGAATCTTTTAATAGAAGTTTATTTTTCTCCTGTGTGTTTATAGATACAAGATGTAATGGGATGGTAGTTTTCTTTTTGTTCACTTATGAGGTGTGGGCATTGCTGACAGGCCAGCATTTATTGCCCATCCCTATCTGTGCTTGAACTGAGTAGCTTGCTATGCCAATTTCAGAAGTCAATTGAGGGTCAACTACATTGCTGCAGCTCTGGAGCTACACATAGCCCTGGCCAGGTGAGGATGACAGATTTCATTCCCTCAACAATATTAGTGAACCAGATGGGTTTTTCCGACGACTGGCAATGGTTTCATGGTCATCATCAGACCCTTAGCACCAGATTTTTAAAACTTAAATTCAAATTCCACCATCTGCTGTGGCAGGAATCAAACTCAGGTCCCCAGAACATTAGCTGAGTTTCTGGATTAATAGTTCAGCAATAATACCACTAGGCCATCGCCCCTCCATTTAGTTAAAGGGAGAAAAGAAGAAGGCACTCAGTTGCATAAGGTATGCAAGAGGTCCTGGACACAGATGGAGGGGCACAGAGTAGCACATAGTGAGTATGAAGGGCTGAGTTGGATGTGTCCAGGGAATTAGGTCATATGCGATGACATGAATGGGGCATGTGGAATTTTTATATTTTATGTTTGTATTTCTTTTTGGACACAGTGCTGGACGTCCAAAGCAGGCTTCCTTCATGTGTCTAGCCTGTCTTGGCAACCTTCAATTTCCCCAACTATTTTCGGGTCAGCCAGCCCAACTTTCAATCCAGCCCCCCGAACCACAGGGCATGAAAATGGGGAGTGTGGATGGGTGGGCTTTTTCAAAGGAGGTGCTGGTAATTCTCCACCTGTCTATGCATCCAGCTCAGGGCGGAAAAAAATTGGGGCTATCATTCAGATACAATTTTAAACCAGTGTTCAGGCAATTGTAAAATATTCCACAATATTAAATTCACAGAATTTTACAGCACAGAAGGAGGCCATTTGGCCCATCATTACTGTATCAGCTTCTGAAACAACTGCACAGCCAGTCCCATTCTCCAGCCTTAACTCCATAGCCCATATTGTTGGAGGAAGAGGAAGAAGTTCTTACAGAATTGAAACCAACAGGCGTTCCTCAAGCAACACCTTTGAAATGAGATAAACTGGTTATTTATTCATTTTCAGCTTCTGGGACTGAGCTGTGAGCATAATAGCTCCATAACACCAATGATTACATTTCAAAACAGTCAACTGGCTAAGACCTGTTTTAGGGTGTAAATGCGAAATTCATTTTTGGGATGTTCCTTTATGATGTGATTAAAATATTCTCTTATAAAGTATATTTACATGAGGTGTCCTTTTTGTAACTTCCTTCAGCACATCTTCAGCCATCTTATCTGAAATGCCTATTTCTTTTTAGTACTTGCTCTGCAACCTGTGAAAATTTAATTTGTGTCGGTGAAGGTAGCAGGAATTTACATCAAGCATACAGAGTTTTCTCATCTACATTTACACAAATACATGGTTATTGAGATCATTTTCATTGAAACATGTAAGATTCTGAGAGGTCTTAACAGGGTGGGTGTGGAGAGGGTGTTGCCTCATATGGGAGAATCTGGAACTAGGGAGTCATCCATTTAAACAAAGATGAGACAAATTTTTTTTTGAGAGAAGACCGTGGGCCTTTGAGATGAGGAGAAATTTCTTCATCCAGACAGTGGTCAGCACGTGG